ACTTAAATCAGGTGCACACTGTTTCTTTACAGGTATTTATGCAGCAGCAGCAAGTTTAGGAAATTGAACATTTTTCTACTCCTGTATGAAAGAGCATGGAAGAATCGTAGGTTCAAATCAAGCAGCTCTTCCCTTCAATGATTTCTTAATATAGGACAGACAGATCATGCACTCTACTCATGGATTTAACCTGAATAAAGATTGTAAGACTTGACCAGTATGTTGTGTGGTACCATGCATCCAGATCTAATTATGCAGGAACCCCTCATGCTGATCCATTTCCTATCAAAGGAGTTAAGGATTAGATGTTTTTAAGGCATGATTCTCTATAGACACTGTGGAGAGGAAGTGCTGTCTAATGAACAGATGGAAGAAAGCAGAATGGACTGATCATGTCATGCATGCAGCCCTCCAGCTGTGCAAAGAGACCCCATAAAATGGAACAGTTTAAAACAAGCAATGGGAGTAGCTGTAACAAGAAGGCATCCCTGGAAGTACAGCTGCAATGGAGACATGGTGGTAAGAAGCCAAGAGAACTGCATCAAGAGTTTTAAAAGGGTCTCTGGTTATCTATCATATTCAGGGCTGCTTCTCTGGCCTTTTCTTCTGGAAGGCACAGTTCACTCTTAGTGGGAAAGAAACATTGGCTACTTCTGTTGCTGTCCATCCTCCCCGACCTAGCTTTTCTTTAAGAGAGAATATTCAAGTCACCACTGTGAATGATGAATACATAAAGAAGGGGTTGGGTTGGGCTGGGTTGGAGGTTTTCTTGGATTTTTTTAAATTCTCTTAATCTAGCATGTTCATTAACAGGAGCCATAAGAATGTGAATTTTGTTGCAGCTGTATATTTTACTTTAATTTTTAATCAAAGTATAACTGTTTTCTTAATGCAGATGAATAGAATTAATGGAAATGCGAAAGTCTTTGCAGCCAATGAGAAAAGAAATCACAAGCCCAGAATGCAATATAAAAATAAGACCTTATTTGTATATGTGTGTAATATATAAAACAGGTGCAATTAACCTGAGTTTTCTTTGTGGTAAAGATATTGCCATCTCTGATGGGAAAAAGCAGCAAATCTCTCAACTGTCACTTTCTAAAAGAAACCTGGCATCTCTCAGACTTGTCAGCAGAACGTCTAAAAACAGTAGACCTAGTTGTGGTCTATTGTGTAGGAGTACACAAGCTGCAGAGGCCACGCAGATGGATTCTATGTACCTTGAGCTTGTCAGACCAGGACTGTATAGTATCATATGTATTTCCACTGGTGACCTTATAATCTGTTCTTTCATGCACATTATCAGCAAGGGTATAGGCTGTAGCCTACACCTCAGCTTGACGAATCCTCAGCCTGATGAAGGGTTTTTAAACCCGAAAGCTTACTGAGAAAGTTTTTTCCCAACTATTTAAGTTGGTCTAATAAAAGATATCACATTCACCCAGAGAACCTTGTCTATCATTATCAGCAAGGAATTTTGTGACTGTTTTTGTATGTAGTATTCCGTCCCATTGTCGTCGTTTTCCCCCCCCCCACCCCAGTCCTTTATTGGAAAACTACCTCTTATCAAAAGAACCATTAGATTTTTTTTTTTAAGTTGGGGCCACATATTGCTTTTGCCTCCTTTGTTATTATTTCCAACAAAGATAAGGCTCTACATCATTTACAGCCTTTGTTAACAGCCTGCAAAGCAGAATAGAAAGACATAAAACACCAAAGGGATAAATGAAGTGAATGAGGTAAGGGAGGTTTCAGCTCCTGTCTAATAAAGAATGGGCTATGGTGCTGCTATAGTACGCGACAAAAATGTATGTGTGTGTGGTGGGGGGTGGTGTTCTGTCCTTGAAGGAGTTGGTTCTAAAATAGGTGGAAAATGTTTTGTGAGTAATCATGGTCTCCACTGTCTATCTCTATGCATGTTAGGAATCCTATTGTTGGGCACAGGATACCATTCAGCCTTTATTTGGGAGGCGCTCATTTCTCTGAAGAGGTTGCAAAACCTAACCCCATAGCGTGTAAAAGTCTTGAGGGATCCTTTTTACTGCCTGTTGGACTGAACATAAACCAGTTAGCCCTGCTAAGGAAAGCAACTGGAAGGGCAAGACATGCTAGGAGTATTTCCTATTTTTGAGCATCTGAGAGAACTCCAATTCTGACTGCACTTTGCAAGATGCTCTTGGCTCTCTTCCTGAGAACTTCTCTGCTGATTTATTTAACTTCAGCAAGTAATGCAGACTTCGAAGAAGGTGAGTGAGTGGCACATTTCTTCTTTTAAAGAAAAATATTACCATTATTTCACTCAAAAATGAAAATTCAAATAGAAGTCTTATGGGCTTGTTTCTGAATTTACACTGGAGAGATTTCATTGGCTTAGCCAGTATTAGATCAGATATGAGTCATATGCATATAGGATATGGCAGGCTTTTAAAAAACATATTTTCTCTATGAATTATGTTAATGTGAAGTTGATATAGATTCTGGCCATTGATTTGTGTGCTAATATATAGAAACTTCTTCATGAATTTCATGTGAATTACTTTTCAAGAAGGACTCCTTTGTGCCCATTATACATTCATAATAATGTTAGGACATCCAGAGCCCTGAATTAGAATTTACTAGTGTTTTAAATTTAAATGCCATAAATATTGCTAGGATTAGGAGGATATTTGTTTTTATTACACATGTATGAAAGAACATGAGTCTGGTCCTTAAGAATTGTTGGATACCCTATGTACCCTAACCCTAATTAAATTATAGGATTCCAGAATGGAAACTGGAAATAATTGAAGTTTATTAATAGAATGGTGGAGCTGAAGAATTTATGTATCACCAAAGTCATTAACCAAGATTTTTAAAATTTAAAATATAGAAATTAGTAGGGGAAAACACATTTTTAATTGTATTCCAAAGTTGAAATTCCTAGGTTATAAATCTAGAAGAGGACCGTTGTGATTACTTCTCTGTCCTCTGTATAACCCAAGTCATAGCACTTCCAGGGAATGATTTCTGTTTGAAGTAGAGTGTGTATTCTGGAGGGTGGTGGGGGGTACAGTGTTGATTTTAAAACTGCCAGTGATGGGAAATCCATTGCATATTTTATCCCTGGTCTCGCAATAATTGCATGTCTGTGTTAGCACCCTTGTGCTTTCAAGCCCTGTTTTGGTATTAAATGCATTACTTTTTCCCTCACAATTTTCAGGTAGTTCAAACTGTTTCTTGCTACTTACCCTGTAATTAAAATAGACTGGGTTTATTACAATATAAATTACTTTTTTTTTTACTTCGCTGAAATGTATTTTGTTTTTCATTGAGCCACTGAGACAAGCATATAGGAACATTCCTGTAAGCCAGTTGTTAAGAAATCCCATGTTCCTAATCTGTTTTCTTTACATAGCAAACTGCTGAGTTGTGTGACAGATATAACCTGTACTACACTTTATTAGAATAGTTTAATGAATGCAATTGCTCTAAGTAAAGTATGTGTAAAGAACTAGTATTCAGAACCAAGGTATCTTTAGTGCCACACAAATCAGAGGGAATCAGTAAAGGGGGGAAAAAGGATAAGAAACTTTTATCTTTTCTTTTTCTTTTTTTTTGCATCATCTTAATATGTGTTAGATTTTTCTGGCTTGCTTTTTAACTTGGAATTCCAGCCTTATTTACCCTGCCAGAGACAGTGGGCTCCTAAGGAAATGCTGGGATTATAACAGTGCCACAACAGTGCTACTTGGTGAATTGGGGCTTGGCAGTCAAGGGGAATGACTGGAGAGAGGAAGTGGATTATTATTCTAATTATTCTGTTTTATTTATTGTTAATAAATTATTTACTATTGATTTTGGAGTCAGCTAACCTGCACCATATTTTCAGTGGTTTAGTATTCCTTTCATCATGCCACTGTAGCTTTATCTCTCAATCAGTCCCTATATGTAAAAAGAATAAGTATTATTGAAATTGTGTTTGAAGAAGTAAACCTCTTATTTATGCTTCAGTCTAAACATGAGTTTTTCAGGTAGCTGTAAACCAGTTATTTAGAGCGAAGGAATGCTAGGTTCACAATGTTTTTTCTACATACCTCAAGGTACCTGGTGGCTTGTGAACACTGAGATGATGGGGCAGATGGAGCATCCCATGGGAGCACAGGGTTGGGTCTCCAGCGTGCTTGGCACCTGACCTGGAAGTGGACCAGAAGCACTTCAGGGTCCACTGGGGAGCGCGTGGACCCCCCCCCCCAGTCTGCGTGCTGGTGCCCCCGGGGCTGGGGGGGGCACCCAGGGTCCCCCCATGGCCAATCGCCAATCCGGGGGTGGGAGGGGGGGTCTCCCTGTGTGCTCAGTGGTGGACCCAGAAGTGGACTGGAAATACTTCCGGTCCACTTCCAGGTTCACCGCTGAGCACACTGGGGGGGATGGGACACGGTCCTGTGGGATGCTCCATCCACCCCAGCATTGCAGCATGCATGAGCTGCACCTGGTACCTTGAGGTATGTAGAAAAAACATTTAAAACTGTGTTTATGGCTGAATCACTGATTCTCCGAGTCAGCACTGAATCTTCAATTTCAGTCGAATTGAATCAGGACAAGGATTTGAATCAATGAATCGAATCACTGTCCCTGATTTGGGCCGAATCTGGATTGAATACAGCCCATTTTGCACACCCCTAATAGCAATAGCTGAGAGTACAAGCCAGGCTTCCTGACTTTATCCTGTTCACTAGGTTGTGCTATTCCCTTCATACTTAGGCAACAGCAACCAAACATGTATCTGCAGTATCTATTGTGAGACTGTTAGCACAATTGGTCTGGAGCCCATTCAGGATGTGTTTGCACACATGGTGCCTGTTGTGCATCATCCCTGTTATAAATAAACTTCTTGCTGGTTGCCTTGCTGACAAACTGGCCCCAGGCAGGCTCTTCCCCCCGGCAGGAGTCGCAAGAGAAACTAAACCAATTCTGATCTCACATAATCTTACTGCATGGAAGAATGAGATAACTCCACTAACATCAATAGGCTAGTTTCTATTTTCAAAATAATTTAAGATACTGACTGTAGAATTACTCTGGATGTGTATGCCAAAAGAAGGGGCTATGAGCCTACATGCAGTTATGTGGTGCCCAATTGGTATGATAAGTACCTACTAGAATTGCCTGTTGTTGTTTTTCTCTAGCAGCGTTCACTTTTATTCAGGACTTGGTGAAACCAGAACCAGATTTGTCACCATGGCCAGATATTTTGTAGATGCTGCTGCTTTTACTAAATGCAAACAGATAAGCAAAAGGGGACTTGTTCTTTTAACAGGAGGAGGAATAGGAAGTACCAGTCCAAATAAAGAACAACAGTTCTATGTTTGCAGTGAGCAAAGGCATAGGTAGCTATTTTGGCACCCTAGTAAGTATGTGTTTGGGGGTATGGAAGGGGTATAGGGAGGAGGCATTGTAACTAGTGCTGGAAAATGAGGCTTGTGTGCATCTGTGTGTATTAACCTTCAATATGGTAAAACAGTCCAACCTGCTGATAAAGGTGTTTCATACTTGAGGAGGACCTTGTGTGAAAACAGAAGATTCTATGCCTACCCTTATTACAAGAAAATCTGAAAGGAAGTTTGTAGTGGAGGCCCTTGAAATAGATGTTGGGTTTAACAGTATGTCACTTGCAAGAAAGACAAGGTTTAAACAGAATTAAAAAGCTTAATAGGTGTCTTATAAATGAAGTATCTGAAATTTTATTCACTACACTTGTGCCCAGGAAGAACCTATTTAAATACGCTTGCTTTTAGCTTGAAAAGCTGTCTGTTAGGAATCCTTCAATTCAAGGATGATTCTCTGCTAAGGCACATTGATGCGTCTTGGTGACTTAAGGGTCCAATCCTTGAGCCACAGATCAACCTGCAGATGTTTTAGCTCTTTCTGCAGGAGAGAGTAGGGAGTAGGCTGTAAACTCGGATTCCTTTCCTTTTGCTTCTGTGCTGTCTCCTCTTCTTCATGGGCAAGGCGCTTTACCTCAAAACAGGCTGCCACTGGGTTGAGGTTGTGATGCCACTGGAGTCAGTTAGCATCCAGCTTGGAATAATCTGAATTAGAAATGTCATATGTTAATAGGGCAAGGGTTGTGAGAGATTCACAGGAAAAAAATGAACTTCTGTCTCAAGGTGGGGGGCAGGGTGGAAACTAAGCGGAAGTGCTGGTTTAAGCATGAGATCAAAGAGAAGTGAAAAGACTGGGATACTTTTTTTTTGTCGGTTACTTCATAGTCAATTGGGAATTAAGACATTTCCCTGTAGCTATTCCACTATAGACAGGACTGAACCTTGGCTCTTGTTTCTTCTTCCTAGAGCAGTACACAGCTTGCTTTATCTTTGCATGTGTGAGGACATCAGCATTTGTTCTGATAATCCCTAACATTGTGGTGATGTGCTTTTCAACATTAAAGATTTACAAATATTATGATTCTCTTGTAAGATGCAACTCTCTCCTGCTCAGAATTTACATTGGATTTAATTCTCTCTGGATTTACACTGTGCTTAAGTGAGAAGAGAAAGGGACCCTAACTGATTATCTGCCAGGAATACTCTGGAGCTTAGTTCCAAGTATTTTCAGTCCTCACCTAGCATCTGCTACAGAACTGCAGGGTTTTTGGTTGTAGTCCTGTTGGTCTAAGGACATAGGCAGGTAAGGTTCTTTGAGTAGATGTGATATCATTTATTAGACCAACTGAGTAGTTGGAAGAAAATTCTTAGCAAGCTTTCAGGCGCAGTCACCTTTCTTCAGGCATTGGGAGTCTCTCAGAACAGCAGAGACTCCCTTTCAGTGGTGTACCATGGCTTTCCAGAGTCCAGGGGCCAATACTTGCATTTGCAGTCCCCCCCAGCGGCTGATCGCTGAGCGGGGGAAGGGAGCCCCTGGTGGCCGATCACCAAGCATGGGCCCCCCCTTCCCCGTGTAAGCCACTGTTCCCTATGCCTGAAGAAGGGTGACTGTGTCTGAAAGCTTGCCAAGAACTTTTTCCCAACTACTCTGTTGGTCTAGTAAAAGATATCACATCTGCCTACAGAACTGCAGAGCGTTAAGGAAATGAATGGAGTTTTACATGAAGTTGGCTTTTTCCTTTCATATTTGTTAATGTTTCTACTTATCCCTTAGCTTTATCTGAGATTTCAGTGGGAATTGAGCACCTATCCCCTAGGCACTTTAAATAATCCCAGCTTTACATAATGCTAAACCATGTGCATTCCTGGCTTGGTCACTTGGC